TTTCCCCTTAAAATCGTTTTTTGTAACAGAAAATGGGTGCAATTCCCATTTTAACCGTAACAGAAAATGTAGATATTTGTTTTTTTAGGGGTAACAATGATATTCTTTTCCACTGAGTAATCGGTCATAATGACGATGGGAAAAATGCTGATGTTTTTTTTTTCTTTTTTTTGAGTGTGAAATGTCAATTAGTAGACCTTGTGACCTCACCTGATTATACCTTTCCTTGAATTGGTGGAAAAAAATGCCATGAATATCGATGGTGTTAATTTTTTTTATAGACATTGTAATTATTATAATGCTCTAGACATTAGTAAGAGCAAAATAAGATAACGTAAAATATTTTCGAAAATCAAGGAAAAGGGTCAAGTGATTAAATAAGTTAGTAATTAATAAAGGATTTGGGTTAAGATGATTTCTGAAAAAAAAACTTGTTCCATACAGTAGCTTATTAATCTTCAAAATATAAGTAATGATCACATCATGTTACTTGTACATAATACAGTAATACAATAGGCTACGAATGAAATGAAAGGGTACTAACTATACATAGTATATGCAATATATATAAAACACTACATGGGTATCAGTATGAATAAGGTGATTAGATCATAACTCCAACTTCCTTCCGTCCTTTCAACCCTGTTTATTACACACACACGCATATATATATATATATATATATATATATATATATATATATATATATATATATATATATATATATATATATATATAGTGTGTGTGTGTGTGTGTGTGTGTCTGTGTGTGTGTGTGTGTGTGTGTGTATGTGTGTGTGTGTGTGTGTGTGTGTGTGTGTGTGTGTGTGTGTGTGTATGTGTGTATGTGTGTGTGTGTGTGTGTGTGTTTGTTTGTTTGTGTGTATGTATATATATATATATATATATATATATATATATATATATATAGTGTGTGTGTGTGTGTGTGTGTGTGTGTGTATGTGTGTATGTGTGTGTGTGTATGTGTGTGTATGTGTGTGTGTGTGTGTTTGTTTGTTTGTGTATGTATATATATATATATATATATATATATATATATATATATATATAGTGTGTGTGTGTGTGTGTGTGTGTGTGTGTGTGTGTGTGTGTGTGTGTGTGTGTGTGTGTGCGTGCGTTTGCGCGCGCGCGCGTGTGCGTGTGTGTGTGTGTGTGTGTGTGTGTGAGAGAGAGAGAGAGAGAGGAAGAGAGAGAGGAATTGAGACAGAGACAGACAGACAGACAAATAGAGAAGGGAGAAAAGAGGAGTAAAGAGACATTGTGATTGATTTTGAGCGGAAACTAATCGCATAAAGATTAGCTTGATATTTTTTAAAAAGATAGACATGAACCGCGGGCACAAAGTAAAAAAAAAAATATCAGCACATTAAACTATTGAATCTAGAATATCACTACAATTAATAAAACAATTATTAAGAAAAAATATATCTACATCCCATCAATATCGACTATCTAATAAGACAAATCCTCCCCCAAAACAAAGGAATTAATTTTAACCCCCTGCGTAACGGCCGCCATCATGGCAAAGTTGGTCGAAAGTGAGAACCAAGAGGGTACTTAATTTTCCCCTTTTCTCTCCCTCTCCTCATGAGTAACACCTTCAAAACCTAAGACACCATGGAGGAGAGATCAGAGGGCTTGAGACTATGGAAAAATAAGGTAATTAAACACCAAATGAGACACGACGTTATCCCGTTATCCGGCGAGAGTAATGCAAAGAAGTAGTAGTGTATCGCCTTCCTTATTTTATGGAATGAATTAACTTTTATTAATTAATTTCATATCATTGATTAATAAGTCGGTGTTAATGGATGTGATGAACTAGGATGATCTTTCATAATAGAGTTTTTTTTGTTGTTTTTTATCTTGAAGTAATGTATTTGAATAGTATTCTTGGGTACTCTCTTCTGCTTTATGTTTTATAATATATTTCATGTTTTACTGTTTTCTGCTTTATGTTTTATGATATATTTCACGTTTTACTCTTTTCTGCTTTATGTTTTATGATTTATATCACGTTTACTCTTTTCTGCTCTATGTTTTATGTTATATTTCATGTTTTACTCTTTTCTGCTTTGTTTTATTATATATTTCATTTTTACTCTTTTCTGCTTTATGTTTTATGATTTATTTCATGTTTTACTCTCTTCTGCTTTATGTTTTATGATTTATATCATGTTTTACTCTTTTCTGCTCTATGTTTTATGATTTATTTCATGTTTACTCTTTTCTGCTTTGTGTTTTATGATTTATTTCACGTTTTACTGCAATATGAATAAAATCCAGCTAAAACCTCATGTTTATTAATTATGTATACTATGTTATGCATCTGTTTAATGTTTAATGTTTAACAATAATGATAAAGTTTAATGCCTATTGTACAAATATTACCTTTCTTTTAAATTAGTGTTCATGTAATTTTGACTCACTAAAACTTTTTATTCAAAATTTTACGGCTTGAGTGGAATTATTTGCCAATAGGGAAGTATATTCATGCTTGAGAAATTATATATATATAATTTTATGTTCATTTTAATTATTACAATTTCCTTTCTTTTCTTTTTTTCATTTCACATAAATTAATATTAATGGTTTGATATTGTCGAGAATACAGTAAACTAAGGCCATTTTATATCTCGGAATTAATCCACGTTTAGTAATGTACGTAAAATTTATGCTCGACATATATGAAATTAGTAATAGATATTAATACTAAATCAAACCATCATTAAAGTAGCCAAAATGAGTATTGCAAAATTATGATGATATATTATTAATTATTATTTTTAATCACTTGCACTACTGGAATTAATGTATGATATGTATCTGTAATTAATGTTTGTAATTAATGTATGATATGATATTAATGTATAATATGTCATATCCTGTTATTGCTAATGATTATTAACTAGGCTATTCTAGAATTTATAGCGGCAACCCCCATAGACTAAAGCCTTGATGGTACCTTTGCTTCTGGGACTCGGAGACCAACAAGTCTGAGCTACGTGGGCCTATTCTAGCGAGAAAAAGCTCAGACTGGTTCTTCCTTTGATGATTAATAGCCAAAGAGGTCGATCAGTTCTGTTTTAGCTAAATATCGGTGGTGGAAGTTAGTTGGCCTTTACCTGGGTGTCAAAGGCACGGAGGCTGTCTCAATTACTTCATTACTATCTCAATTACTGTGTCTTTAGCAAGCAACTGTAGCCATTCTGCAGTTTTCTATAAGTTAAACCTTTCATTAAGGATCACCTTAGCTTTTCTGCCTCGGTATTGGTTTCAGGAACTCCCTATAATTGTTTTTTTATTATTATTGATATCAGGTCTTCTCTTCCTGTTGTTTTTTGTCTTCCTTATATATGATTTACTTATGTATGTTGGTAAATTTTAGTTATTTTATAGATAATGAAATATTAGGCTCCTTAGATACTTTTGTAAATAATGTGAAAATATGTGTAAGCATATACCACAAGGAAACATAATATGAAACAAATCCAGTAACTTTGAAATATTTGGATAAAATTTGAAGCAAATTCTGTTTATGAAAATATATATATACACATACATACATATATATATATATATATATATATATATATATATTTATTTATTTATTTATTTATTTATTTATTTATTTATTTATTTATTTATATATATATATAATGTACAAACACACAGGTGTGTGTATGTGTACGTAGATGTACATATATACACACCCATATGTATATGTATATGTGTATATATATATTTATATTTGTTTATATTTATATCTATATTTATATTTGTTTATATTTATATCTATATTTATATTTGTATTTATATTTATGATTTTATATTTATGGTTATAGTTACATTTATATTTATGTTTGTTTATATTTATAATTATGTTTATGTTTATATTTGTATTTACTTTTACATTTATATATTCATGGTTATGTTTATATTTATATAAGCTTATGTTTATATTATTTTATATTTTTATTTTTATTTTTATTTTTATATTTATTTTTATTCATGTTTATATTTATATTTACATGTACATTTACATTTATATTTATATAATATATTTATATATATTTATATATATTATATATTATATATTATATATTATATATTATATATTATATATTATATATTATATATTATATATTATATATTATATATATATATATATATATATATATATATATATACATACATACATACATACATACATACATATATACATGTATATTTGCAATTATCTTTATATTTATTTATGTTTAGGTTTTTATATGTATCATATATTTATATTGATTTAGTTGTATAAAGTTTTTTAAGATGGTAAAGAAGGGATTAAGAGCTATAAGACATAATTAATCTCCCATTAGATTAGTTTAATCAGGTGTGATACTGAATTGAACAGATTCAGTAATTCCTGAACTTAGAATCACATCCTCAGGAGACTAAGCCCCACAGCTGCTCTCGCCGCCACACCTTCTGTTCTGCGGCAAAGGCCAGCAAACACCTTTTCTAATATGCCATTCCTTATTTTATTTCATAATTCCTCTCTGCTTTGTAGTTGGATGACATTGTCAGCCTTGCGTCACAGCTCCAGCCAGAGGACCACAAAGTTGCCGCAGAAATCTGGTTTGCCGCGCTGAAACAGATCCAGACGCTGTGGAGCAAAGCGCAGCTGTCTCCGTCTCGCGAGGTAGGCTGCAACGGCAAAGTTTATTCAATCTGATCGCTCTTATTTGTTTGTAATTGTATATCAGATATATTAGGGTATGTAATCCTTTTCGGAAATGATGTTGACTCCCCTATGGATTTATTACTCTTTTTTCCCCATTTTATTTTTAGGATTATTTGTTTCTGTATGATATTGTTTTTAAAAATTGTCTTTAGCAGTGTGTGAGTGAGCTGTCATCTCTTGAAGATGTTAATTCATTATCAACAAGAAAAACTACAGTATTTCAAGATGAAGGTAATATTATTAGTTGT